AGTGAATAATTCGAACCTCAAAAATATTAATTTCTCAGACCAAACTTAATTATGAAAAATATTTCTTCGTAGAGAAACTACGTGATGCACGGAATAACACTTAAAAGGACAAAAAACCTCAGACTTTCGACTTCAGTATTAGAATTGGTTGATCGACACAGATGCCCGTTTAATATGGAAAGTATTTTAGAAGTCTTTAAATTTTGCTTGGTTTAATATACGTTTGCACCAATAAAATTTAAAAATAAAGAATGAAACAAATATCAAAGATTAGATTTTCTTTTAGTTATTAGAATGAAAACGGTCTCGAGACATAGTAAATCATGAGATCAGTGATGTGATTTTAATAGCAAACCATCCAAGATATTAAGATCCATTTCAAAAGTAGTTTATTTATTATAATCAAACAAATTTGTGTGTTTCAAGACTGAAACATAAATTACAAAATCTAGGACGTTTTTGATGCTACAGTGTGAAAAGAAGTGCTGCATTGCAACATTCAAAGAGAATTCAAAATTTTTTATATTAATAAATGTCCGCTTTTCGTGCATTACCAATGTTCTAAAAATGCAATCGTTAAAAAGATATAATGTCCAGATGATTGGAACATCTAAACAATTGAATGAGACTAGTAAGTTCTCTATTCAAGCGTTATTTTCAGATTTAATCGCAGGATCTTGGATCGGCACATCATAACGTATAATTCTGGTAAGTTCAAAATAAAACTCTCATGTGCCATTACCTCATCCCCCAAGTGATAATACAGTTTTACATCTCGGGTCTTGGAATCTTTGGAAATATCTCACAAGGCCCAATAATCCAATACTTAATCTATCGAGAATGTTTAACGGATACTCTTTATCAAGTCAGTTTAATGCACCATTTAGAAAAGAAAATTTTATTTTTATCTAAAACCTTAATAATGCTGGCTAGTAATATCGAACCAGAATTATAAAACATAATATATGAGTCTTCTTCATTAGAAACGCATCATTAAACAAAATAAATTACTGAGTGAGTTTGTGCTTGCATGAAGCCTTAGATGTGAAAACGTGTCTCGTGAAATCGAGGATATATTTTGAATTTTCCCTGGATGTATAATTAATCTGGCCGTTGAAGATACATATTAAATTTTTACTTTTATAAGTGGTCAAACGGTCGGTCGGTGAAACATTCAGTCGATAAAGTCTTTGACTGAACCGAGACGTGAATGGTGATATTTTTACGCTAAATTTTAATTAATATTCGATAAGATTATAAGTACTATGTATGCTTTCAAATGAAATGTGGACTTTATATATTTACCTTATTAGTATCTGAATAATTGTTGCCAATTGCCCAACATTAAGCCATTCAACGGACCATATCAAAATGTCAAACAAACAAAATTCGCGTCGTTATCACTGAATTTACAGACAATCATTTGATTAATAAAATTAATAGAGCTAATGGGTTGTTCAACGCTTTCTTTGAACTGTATGTATATATGGTGAGAACAATTTAACTTAGAAACCTCAACGGGGTAACTCATCTTATGATTTTTAATATATGATTGTTTACAACCTCCCAAGTTGTTCCAGAAGTTTCCAAGTCCTCCCATATATTTTCGACTTCAATGATTTACATTATATAGCTTCGACTATTGCGGTACAATGTTTTGATGAGTTTGGTATGATATTATATATTATATCAAAATGTGCTTGGTTTTGGACAAAAGATAACCTAGGCTAAATAACGGACTGTCATATAATGCTACATTTGAATATGTTTAGATTTTAAACATGCATTTATGTGTATTATGTGTAATCGAACAAAATTTAAAATTTATTTTTTCATTTAAAAAATAAAATAAAATTTTTTAATTGCTGGCTTTGATAAATAATTTGATTGTACAATAAATCGCA